CGCTGCTATCGCTCAAGTCTGTCGTGTCACGTGACGCCAGATCTACAATGATTTTATTTGCACTTTATGTGTCTTGACGCGAACTCTAAAAACATTTTTGTAATGCACACGCACGTGCCATCAATAATGATTGACAAAGAAATGTTTACAAACACGAAATTCTTATTCAATCATCGAAAGGGTAGAGTTTTGTTTTGTTACAACCACTTACAATATACTATACAGTATAAGGACTTTCTGCAATCAGTCAATAAGTTGTATCTGTTCGTTCCTTTTGTTTACATGCAGTTGAAAAATCACGCGTAAAGTTGTAACTCACGTGCATTGCGCGTCTGTTCGCTTTCAAATCAATCTTGGCCATATTTCGCTCTTTAAAATAACGATTATTGGCCAAAATAGCACTTTCCCAGGCAAGTAACATTTTTGTTTATTTTTCAGCCCTCTTGAATCCAATGCCTCACTTTGATCACTCGTAGAGATGATGATAGATTATAAAACAGCATTATCAGGCTTCTAGATCTCATCACAAAGGTAGATTATCTATTATAATTCCTTTTTTAAAACGCTTCATTCGCGAGGAATTCATTCCTGGACATTTTTGTTTATAAGGTGGTAAATCTATCCAGTATTTAACCGGATAAAACACACTTTTTTCGTGTTTGCGCTATGCTGTGCATGGCATAACAACATAACCCCACCCCCATCCAAAAAACAAAATACCGACTTTTTAGAGGTATATCTGCAACATGAGCGGACGAAGAATATTAGTTAATGAGGAAAACAAAGCACTATGTTTGACTCGGCAGATGGTAGTTGTATAGTGGATGGTAGCGTCTAATGATGAGATTTTCTCGCGGATTGTAGACACCGTGGATAGGGTTTAAGGATATCGATCTCTCAGTGTCTCAGGAACGATTTGTCTCGTGCACTGCGACACAGAGATTCCAGCCAGGTCGCGATAAATATAGCTTATTGGCCCGAATGGCACATGGGTATGTCTAGCATCAAAGATTAATGGGTTTTTTTTCGTTGTACAATCAGACCCTTTTATATGAAAACGAAACCTCCGTTGTAAAAGAATTCGTGTTGCACTTACAAGAAACAAATCGGTAAGGATAAATTCAAGTTCCAGGACCATGCGGAGTTGGTTTTCTCTTCGGAGGAAGATCGTGGAGGGTTTTCTTCGGGGAAATAAGTTGTAGATTAATTTTGGGTGAAAAGACTTTTGTTGGTAGTGTGGTTTGTAGATGGTAGGTTGTAATTGAGTGTCGAGACCGTTGGTTGTGTGGTTTGTTGGTGGTAGGTTGTAATCGAGTGTCGACCGTTGGTTGTGTGGTTTGTTGGTGGTAGGTTGTAAATGAGTGTCGAGACCGTTGGTTGTGTGGTGTGTTAGTGGTAGGTTGTAAATGAGTGTCGAGACCGTTGGTTGTGTGGTGTGTTAGTGGTAGGTTGTAAATGAGTGTCGAGACCGTTTGTTGTGTGGTTTGTTAGTGGTAGGTTGTAAATGAGTGTCGAGACCGTTGGTTGTGTGGTTTGTTGGTGGTAGGTTGTAAATGAGTGTCGAGACTGTTGGTTGTGTGGTGTGTTGATGGTAGGTTGTAAATGAGTGTCGAGACCGTTATCTGTGTGGTGTGTTGGTGGTAGGTTGTAAATGAGTGTCGAGACTGTTGGTTGTGGGGCTTGTTGGTGGTAGGTTGTAAATGAGTGTCGAGACCGTTGGTTGTGTGGTGTGTTGGTGGTAGGTTGTAAATGAGTGTCGAGACCGTTGGTTGTGTGGTGTGTTGGTGGTAGGTTGTAAATGAGTGTCGAGACTGTTGGTTGTGTGGTGTGTTAGTGGTAGGTTGTAAATGAGTGTCGAGACCGTTGGTTGTGTGGTGTGTTAGTGGTAGGTTGTAAATGAGTGTCGAGACCGTTATCTGTGTGGTTTGTTGGTGGTAGGTTGTAAATGAGTGTCGAGACCGTTATCTGTGTGGTTTGTTGGTGGTAGGTTGTAAATGAGTGTCGAGACTGTTGGTTGTGTGGTTTGTTGGTGGTAGGTTGTAAATGAGTGTCGAGACCGTTGGTTGTGTGGTTTGTTGGTGGTAGGTTGTAATCGAGTGTCGAGACTGTTGGTTGTGTGGTTTGTTGGTGGTAGGTTGTAATCGAGTGTCGAGATCGTTATCTGTGTGGTTTGTTGGTTGCAGATTGTCATTAATTGTCGAGATCGTTATATGTGTGGGTTATTTGTGATAGCTACTGTTGGTTGTGTGGTTTGTTGGTGGTAGGTTGTAATCGAGTCGGTATCTGTGTGGTTTGTTGGTTGCAGGTTGTCATAAATCTATCGACTTTTCTCCACAGTACATAAGCAGAAAACCGATAGATAATCCGATGTGTAGCTTGCTACTTAAGGAAGGAGCAGGCGGCAACATTCTAGGGTTTTCTATAGCGTATGTAGAAGTTTTCCTATACCGACGCTTTCAAACGCGTGTGCGGTAGTGTCAGCAAAATGGCGACTAACAGATTTAGAGTTTAATATTGTATGTTACGGCAAGTTAATTTGTTCGATGTCATCGTGTGGTTAGGTCATCTAATTTTAACATGATATACTCATATCAGAGCGCTACCGTCGTTAGCATTCATTAGGATAACAAGCTAACTAGTAATAAGTATATAAATGTATATCAAAGTATTTGTCGTACGGACGACACAGACGACAAACAGATTTAAACTGTGATTGATGTAAATGCTGGATATACTGTAACTGTTATCAAAAATAAAGAGTTCAAACATCGGTAAGTGTTACAAAGATAAATTGAAACTGTGTGCTTGGAGCTGAATATTTGGGATATGTATAAAACATTCCTTATACCACAAATGTTATTCATTTATCAGCACGTGCTTTGACCGTTGGGATGTGTAGATGAAGTCAATAAAAAATAGTTGAACGAATTGCGTTGATAACAGTAAACTGGGTGGAACTTTCACGAAAATGGGTTGTCCACAATCTATGAATGACTATGTGGAATATATGTCTCTGTATCAGGTTTTCCTATAACACCGAGATAGTGTGATGGGGCTATTTTCGAAGTCTCATCACTTGATCAGTCTGGATACAACACCAGGACGCCTGACGTATCAGCTGTTTAGCATACGTGGTCATTGCCATCAATATCTGAAGGGACAAAGTTTGTGTTCCTAATCCTTTGAGGTTTTTAGGCGCTGGACAGTGAAACAATGATATTTTAAATATCTGTCTGGGATACAAATACAAAAGGCTTCAAAATTTGTGGTCTTGTAGTGAACCATTTAACATCCAAGGTTGAGGACGTTTTGCACGAAGCCAAGATTCTGAAACAGCAATAAAATTGTAATTCGTTTGAAAACTATCAACATTTTCCATAGGCATAGTTTTCTTCTCCAAATTGTAATTGGTCAAAGAAAAATTATAAAAAAAAATCTCAATGAATTAATGCCGAGCGTGCGAAACCTCGCAAGACAATGACCCCTACGTGGTGGTTCAGTGAAGTGTTAGTTGTGCACGCTCGCATTAACTTCAATGGTGTATTTCAATACTCCTCAGTCGGTCAATCAGAATGATTTTTTGCATGTTTCTAGATATCGGCGGAAAGTGTATGCCAAGCATTTCATTAATTCAGATTTTTATTAATTCTTTTTTGCGTTATGTATTTGGTACCCATGTCTAACAACATGCGAAATAGCATTAAAGTAATTTAATTTATCATGCAAGGTGTTTCTAGAATGTTCATGTACGACCCGAGAAACCTAACTCCCAAACTAATTCTGAACACGTATATGATATATATGACATGTACAAATAACTACTGGAGAAGTGACAGGTGACACCCGAGCTGTACTTATCATTTACCTGTCCCCAGCTACACCAGTTAATCCGTTACGTTGGTTATGTACCTGGTAGTTCAGTATAGTGTTAGCTGTGCAAACTTCGCGTTAAGTTCAGCGGTATATTTCACTATTTATTCAATGATCAAGAAGTATTTTGCGAAATACTTAAAGAAACTGACGTGAATATTCATAATAAGTGATTAATATTACATTCTAGTAATACTTATTTTGACCAAACTCAACTCAACTTCAGTGATTTAATAGTATTCAGTATAAATGAAACGTTTATTTAACGTTTGTTAAAGGGAAACAACTCCAAACATCTAAGGCACTATGCTATAAACACATATTGGGTTGATTATTTGATCAATTTCTCAATGCAATATCAGCCTCGTCCTCGTGAACTCATTGAGGATAGATCATGATCGAACTTTTTTTCTGATTTTTCAGTATTACATTGCCCGATTTTCAAGCATGTGAAATTGTGAACATTAAACGCAAATGTATCCGTTTAAATTCAAATTTCGCTAAAAAGCTGGAATCATTTATATTTATTGAAAGCTAACCAATCCGCAAAGCATTCGGGCGTTCTAGCGGTGACAATGACACTAGTTCCAGACAAAGGAAATTCCATTGGCGATCAGACGGGCGCTTGTTTTTAGTGTATTGATTGCTATGCTCAACAAACGGATTTACGACTAGCCGATGTAAGGGCTCGTTAAAATCCTTTTATCTTGTAGCTGTAAAGGGGTTAGATGTCAATTGGATAGTGACAAAATATTTCTCTCTTTTTTTATAATTATTATAGGAATCTTAATCAGCCAGAGTCTGGAGAACAAAACCTCTGTGATTTAGCTGTACTAGACCCCAGCAAATATCTAAATTGCTAGAAATGTAAATGGAATCAAGTTCGATGATTGATGGGGACAACGGATTAAACGCAATAAGGAACAGAAATAGTGAGTTTCCACAGCGAAATTTGAAGTGTTTTAATATCCCTTATATCATATTTAACTTCCGGACTTTTGCTATTGATTTTCTTGGTTTGAAAATACACGGCACTGTGTAGTGGCTTTCAAACTATTCAAATAAATCATATTCAAGAATTTTTGAAATGTTAAAAATTCAAAATATCTTTAGGAATTATTTAAGAGCCTTTATATTCGAGTAACAGGTTTGCCTATTCCATGGTATACGTGAGTTTGATTCTGGTCCGTGAAAGGTACCAGCTTGATTCCACTCGACGCTTGTCTTGTGTTCTCCTTGATCCTACCCGACACCTGTCTTGTATTCTCCTTGATCCCAACCGACACCTGTCTTGTATTCTCCTTGATCCCAGCCGGCACCTGTCTTGTATTCTCCTTTATCCCACCCGACGCTTGTTTTGTGTTCTCCTTTATCCCACCCGACACCTGTCTTGCGTTCTCCTTTATACCACCCGACATCTGTCTTGTGTTCTCTTTGATCCCACCCGACACCTGTCTTGTATTCTCCTTGATCCCATCGACACTTGTCTTGTGTTCTCTTTGATCCCACCCGACACCTGTCTTGTGTTCTCTTTGATCACATCGACTTTTGTCTTGTGTTCTCTTTGATCCCACCCGACACATGTCTTGCGATCTCCTTGATCCCACCCGCCACCTGTCCTGTGTTCTCTCTTTGATCCCACTCGACACCTGTCTTGTGTTCTCCTTGATCCCCAAAACCTGTCCTGTGTTCTCTTTGATCCCACCCGACACATGTCTTGCGTTCTCCTTGATCCCACCCGCCACCTGTCTTGTGTTCTCCTTGACTCCGCGACACCTGTCTTGTATTCTCCTTTAACCCACCTGACACCTTTCTTTGATTTACACATATTTTATTGCACATAAACAATAGGATTGCGCACAAGTTTTACAACTTATATAAAGGTGGCAGTATATAGTAACGACGAAACAATTATAAACAAGATGAGTGAGAGAGACAGAGAGAGAGGGGGAGAGAAAGAGAGAGAGCGCGAGAGTGAGAGAAAGGGAGAGAGAGTGAGAGAGAGAGAAAAAGATATATATATATAGAGAGAGAGAGAGAGAGAGAGAGAGAGAGAGAGAGAGAGAGAGAGAGAGAGAGAGAGAGATAAGGAGAGAGAGAGATAGAGAGCAGAGAAGAGAGATAAGAGAGAGAGATAGAGAGGAGAGAGAGTGAGAGAGAGAGAGAGAGAGAGAGAGAGAGAGAGAGAGAGAGAGAGAGAGAGTGGGGGGTATAACACGTGCTTTGTACGTTAAGAATACTTTTGCATATATGTTGATCTGCTCCTTCTCCATGCAAGCGAAACAGGTGATACACTGTCTACATGCCTAAACTCCCAACTTGTCAATGTTCATCACTTCCGGTGCTAAACATCTTCACGGCCTTTTTCTCATTGTTCTAATTCATAGCACTATTAAATATTTTATCCTGTTATATTCAATCTGTGTATGTGTATTTGACAAGTAGATAACTTATCGAAACGCTGATTTTTAATCAAATTACACTTTCATTTCAAGGACGTTTTATCAGTATTTAAGTTAATTTGGTAACACAACTTTTTGAAGTATGTTTAATTCCATCATCTGATCTCGGGATTATTTAATGGTCTCTATCCATTTTATCGTTTTCCTCTAAATTTGTCATTAAAAGTCAATTGAAAATGCCTTCACTGCTGTTACTGGATTAGTTTAAAATAGAGCAGCGTCGACCGACCATAATAAACTCGATTCTCTATATCAAATATAAGGGTCGAGATCTTACAATATTAGGAGCACTGCGTAGTACGAAAAGATGAGGGGATGCTGAGTAAAATCATTGGAATGGAGAAGCGCACATGCTGGACTACATGTTTAGTTGAAACTAAACGAGAGAAGTTATGATGCACACAGGCCCTGTATCACATAGGTAAAGGAAAACATGGTGCTGTGATTTTAAGAATTATACAACTATATATTTTGGACGTTTTCTAAGTTATTGTCGATGCAATCTTTGTTGAATCATGCACAACATATAATTCCAGTCAAACCCGAGTTTCATACATCCTTAGATTGTTGTGGTTAGATATTATCGTGTATTTTTCTAGCGTTTACTAGCCGAGTTATCTAACTCTAGATTTGATGATTTATTAGAAGTCTATTGTGAATAGCTGAATACTATCCCTGATAGTATATACTATACTGATACAAAATATTGGCTATATCCGTCCTGGATCAATTTCCTTGGTATAGTTACATCAGTCTCCCCCAGAGTGCATTTCAGTATCCCAATAACAATGATGATAATGTATTGTGATTGTTAACAAACGACAAGTGAGGGAGACATCGACAATGCAGATGACGTCACGAAGTTATGACGTATTTATGTAATATTATTAAACATGCTACAATGTCACTGAGAGTAATTCGTTAATTCGGAAATTGTTAAAGTCAAAATTACCCGCTCTCTAATCATCCCCCGCGAAACGTGTTTGCGGGGATATTAATTTGGGCTCCATCCGTGCATGAATCCGTCCGTGCGTACGTGCGTCCACCGGCCCGAGGGCTTTTCCAGACTATAACTTCAAAACCTTTCAACTCAACTCCATAAAGCTCGCTGTATATGTTGAGTTAGTGCCCTAGTTGTGCCTTTTGCTATTAATGACATTTCATTTCTTATTTTTGTTTGTGTTACCATGGAAACATAGCCAAAAACACAGAATTCGTGTTTACTATCCTTTCCAGGCTACAACTTGAAAACCGTTCCACTCAACTTAGCAAACCTGTCTATTAGTTGTGCCTTTTCTTTATTAAGGACATTTTATTATTTATCTTTTTTCTGTTACCGTCATTTTTTTCATTTTCTTGCGACTTCTTGTGTTACTCCAGAGCTTACAGAATATTGCAAAGATATCTTCATGGACAATACCAAGCTCAATTCAAATGTCAACAGTCAAACACACAGGATCTACATCAAGATATAAACTCTAATTATAATTGATATATATGAGGGGAAAACAAGTTCAGAAAATTTACACAAGTAGAACAATTAAAAAACATGTAGCTTCAACAATTGTACAAAATTATATATTTAATGTTTAAGTTGAGCAGATGCAAGGAAATTTAATGCAAGGAAATTTAATTGATAATTGACAAACGAAGACGTTACATTCTGCACAAGCGCTTTTACTGTATAAGATCTTCAGGTGATAGTAGTGGTACAGGATTGAGTGACGTCACGCATAAAATATATATATATATATATATATATATATCATATTCACGCATAATATATATATATATATATATATATATATATATATATATATCATATTTGGGTTTTACACCAACAGTTAGGTGCGGGGATAATGACACGCTTCACGGCTCCTTGAATGGTTTTTTTTATGAATTTAGAAATACATTCACTTCGACAGGATTACTTTACTTTCCATAACACGAGAATGAACTGAGGTAATTGAAAATCTCATTTTGATACACTCCGGTTTCCGTAATAAACTTTAATGTTGACTTTTGGCAAAGTAACAAAACTTTTCGTCAGTCCTTTTACCGGACTCCAATCTGATTATGATAGGAATTTAACCAAATTTAAGGCTAGAATTTACAATCTTTAAAAGTTGCTCTTCAAAAGTCTAATGCCAGACGATATCAAAGTGAACACAGATTAGAGGCAAGCATGCATTTAGTACTGAAATGATTTCAACCTTGTAGCCGCCTTAAACCCTTATTGGCACCAAATTAGACATAAAAGTTTTAAAATGTCAGACAGAGTGCATTCTTCCATGCCTTTAAACCTCACTTTTTTAAATCAAATTTTATCAAGAATTGTCCAAAGAGCGCTAAAGTGTTTTGGGTACCATTTGAAAGAAAGCTAGCATTTTTGTCATGTCTATTTAATATCATGATTTAAGGGGAAGCCTTTGATAAATGGCAACAAGATTATCATTCCAAAGATTCGGTGTTGATCTCTCGGAATGGACGGAATTGATTATTGTAATACAAGTAAAGGATTTCTCCAGGGATACCATTGTTGTCATCTCGTGCATTCTTTGTCTCCATGACAACCGTCGCATGTAATGCAAAGCTGGCCACTTTTGAATTCTGATTCCAAGCTTGCTGTGTGCATCTGGTGACACAGTCCAGCGTTATGGTATTCACGACCCGGTGTCGGACACACAGTCACGTGATTGGTGGCTCGACTGGGTTGTAGGTTAATTCAACGAGATGCCATTTGTCTTTTTCCAAAAGCGTTTTATGAATTTTTCTCTATTACTTCATTTCATTGTTGTTGCTACAGAGAAAGTAAACAAGAATCACAGTAACATCATTTTAGCGAACGTGTTACCGCGTTAGTCCTGGAGTGTGTTCAGACAGATTTTTTTCCCGTTTGTATTGAATGTTGTTATTGTAACGTTTTTGGACAGACATATGCCAAGTATGCCAGGTGTGTAGTGAATCTGTGAATTTGGTGAAGAGCGTTTCGATTTGATAGGTATTATGAAGTTCTGCCATTGACACAAGACAGTTGGCCATCTGTGTAGTATTTGCCTGATGTCTAAAGCAAGCTTCTCAAACCAGATCTTCCACGCTTCGTTACCAACTTGAGTGCGAAAACATGCTGCTGTTCATGTTGGAACGCGATTATCAGACGAGGAAATACAAATTCAATCAAAAATGTGGTGGCGAGTCCTGAGAATTTCTGAAAGTTTTGTTTTTGTAAAATATTGTTAAACTATTTTTTCTGCCTTGTAAGTCATTTAACATCGTTGTTATATCAGCTCGGGCATAAACAATTTAGCAATAAATGATACATTTGAATTTCGTCAAAAGTTACTTGACTTTGAATCATACTCCGTTACCTATAACAGAAAACGAAAACTAAGGCTATCATAAAAAATACCAATGTTTCAAGAACAAGCAGTGAGCGTCATCTCACACGGTATTATGTAAATCACGATAAAATATAAGACTGGCAGCCTGACAAAAACAATTTATATCTGAAACAAAATAACAAAAAATCTACTTGTGCTTTATCCTTGGACGTCATCCGCCATCTTGATTTTTGACAATTCTCGCTCCGTTATTCTAGGCAGATTGGGGCCACGAATTTAAGTCCATGGATCACATATTGCGGGGATAGAAATGTAGGAAAGTCTTACAACTTTACAGACTTGATCACTGTTAGTCCTAGTCGTGCATACGACATTTTGTCCTTCATCGCATCAATATCAATAGTTGGCCACTAACCGCAATTTTGAATTTTAGTCAATAAAAAAATTGAACCAGGTTCAAGTGAAAACAACTACCCGTGTAAAGCAAACGGGGCCTGGATTTTTTTTCTTATCATATATAGTGTGGTTGGGTTTTAGATATTGTCATTTTGCTGTTGTTCTTTCACAAGCGCAGACCCATGATTGTTGGATGCACCGTGCTGTTAACTGAAATACTTTTTATATTGTGTCCGACACCTTATTCCCTCTGATTTTCTTTTGTTAGTGAGAAATTGTATGATCGTTTAAGGTTCAAGTTCGACAAATAATATCAGTTCACAGATTTCATTATAAATAGGACGGTGTTCCAATCATCAAAATATAAAACTAAAATGTATGAATTACAAAAATGTTATGATAAATTTACATCAAATCCACGCGTTACTTGACGGCAATTATACAAATCAAGGTTTCAAAGTCTGATTCGGATTAATTTTTTTCGAGAACACAACTATTGAGTTATAAATATGTTATTTGAAGTGCCGTTTGCTTTAGAACTCTATACTGATGTGTGATGACGGAATTTCACTTCATTATTCTTTCTGATAATGGTCATGTCACTTGTCCATTTTTAGAGGGGGGCTCGCCAGATGCGGCCTCCTCTGGATTTATCTAGAGCATTTCTTTCTGTAAATCATTATACGGTATACTAACAAACTCTACCTCTTTATCGTGTCATGGAGCCGGACATGCTTATTTAATCAAATGTAGCTTATTTAATGTACACAGTCTTCATAAACACCTTGGTCTTGAGAAGGAAGATAACTCTTAGAAATTTTAACTTCCCCTGTTGTTTACAGGTAGGAATAGTACATGTACATAAAGACATGTAAATGTACATCGTGCAATCTGATCACTTTTTAAAGACAACATCTAATTATTTTTCACGATTTCTTTTTTTTATTTTCTTTGTCCGTGACATTTAACAGCACTTTTCAGAAAACAAACAACAACGTCGCCGGAGTTATCTTTCTTACCCGGAAGTAGAGAGTTGCGAGCCTTGACATGCGAATGTCAACAAACGGTGGGGGTGAATTTATGTACGACGTACCTGATCCCGATCCCGAAACCCGTACAAGGAAATGAAGAAATAATTAATATCTCGAGAACAAAAAGTACAATAAATCTCAAATTACATATATAAATTTACTTAATGTTTTAAAAATATGACACTTTAAATGAATTAATTTAGGGAAGGACCACTCCTTTCAATCTGTGCCGTAACAGAATATTTTCATTTGTTCTCATCTAAATTAGTGTACAATTTTTTAAATCTTAATAACTTTTAAATAACTTTTCAATTATGTCAGTAAATATTAACTTGACATAAAATACTGTAATACAAATGCACAGCAAATGTAACTCTTGTACTACACCCCCTCCTCCATTTTTATGTAATAAAATGTATTTCACGCTTAGTATTCCTTTGTATTGCATGTTCAATTTCATCAATAAACAAGAAGGAAAGAAAATCTGACGGACTTGCATGTCATGAGACAATGTGTATCCCACATATGAAACATTATATCTTTATTTTACTTTTTTACTTCAAACTTAGATACATTACATTTGTGACATGTCTTTTCCTTTTCCATAGAAGTTCTTTTAAATTGATTTAATTCTGCACCTTGAAACTTATTTAGTATATTTTTAACGACAAGCTAATTAAATAACTCATGTTCAGTCTGCCTGGATATTTTTAGTGGAAGGTTCCCAGGGAAGTAAGTATGCAGTAGAGTTACATCTAAAGGAGACATGTACGTGTCCATCTATAGGTATGTTCTATGATATCATTTTGACTTAAACATATGCTAAGAGAGAGAGAGAGAGAGAGAGAGAGAGAGAGAGAGAGAGAGAGAGAGAGAGAGAGAGAGAGAGAGAGAGAGAGTTTAGTTAATTTCTTGTTAATCGGTCTCTCCTACAATTAACAAGACTAGTAAAGATACAATACACTTTTCAAAACTTGCAAACTTTTCTAGAGTTCGTCACATCCCATGCTTGTTATTATCATAATATTGCTGCAAAGTTAAGTATAGAAAATCGCTCGAATAGACTGGGTTGTTTCAGTTAAGGAGGCAGACGAAATATATATACATGATACTTTGTTGGAAAATACAAAGCAAAATAGTCATTTAATTTGTCAGCCTCTTTAAAATGCAAGTGTTGTAAGCTTACGGGAAAGATAGGAAAGATAGGAAAGTTAGAAAAAACCTTTTCTTCCAATCGTGAAGCAGCAAACAAATGGGGTTGATTGTGGTGTTTTAAGCTGTTGGTTGCTTGGTAGGATTTTGTTTCAGTGGGTTTAATAGTTTTACTGGATTGTATGAGACAACAGCTGAATGCATGTCAAACAGATAAGTAAGTTTAAGAAAAAAAAATCAAAAATTATTTTTCGATATTTGAACTGATTGTGAAGCGGAGAGATATCATATTTCAATATTTTTAACGACAAGGTAACGTGCGATGCGTTTCATAAAATGAGACGGTTAGTGAGGAGTCAAATGTAATTTTAAGGAATAGTTTCATATGGACTGGGTCTGGGGATCGAGTGTGAAAACGACCAGCACGGGACTGGGTCTGGGGATCGAGTGTAAACACGACCGGCACGGGACTGGGTCTGGGGATCGAGTGTAAACACGACCGGCACGGGGCTGGGTCTGGGGATCGAGTGTAAACACGACCGACACGGGACTGGGTCTGGGGATCGAGTGTAAACACGACCGGTACGGGACTGGGTCTGGGAATCCAGTGTAAACACGACCAGGGATCTTCGTTGCGGTCAGAATAAATGCCAGATTAGATATGAATTACACCTCAATTCAGGCTGAAACTTATGTATTTGTTATTAGATGGGTAGAATTATTGACTGGAATTAAAAAAAACTTAATTCACACAGTAAATTAATTGCAGGATGCAAAAAAACGGAAAAAAATCACGATTAAGTGCGGCATACAAGTTTTCACCTCTGAAAAAAACGCATCGCCGATTTAAGAAAATCTAGAATTATTAATTTATTCAATCAAAATGCCAGATTGAAGTAGATTGGTGTAGAAAATTTGAGATTTATCATACTATTTGTTCTCGAGATATCAATTATTTCTAAATTTCCTTGTACTGGTTTCGGGGCCTAGGCCGGGGCCGGGTACGGCGTACACATTTTCACCCCACCTCAACAACCTGCTGTTTGCTGCTGTCGGATTTTTTCCCTATGTTATCATAGTCATGTTGCGATGGCGACATCAATTACAGATCTTCCTCCAGAACTTCTAGTCAAAGTGTTTTCATTTCTTCCCGGTAGAACTCTAGGAAATGTTTGTAAGACATGTACAAGCTTTCGGGAGGCGGCCAACGTCGATTCCATTTGGCAAACAAGATGTGGCACAGGTAACATGATGATGTGTTGTTGTAATTGTTTATTTTCGCTTTCGCATTTCCTGTTCAGACCTTATCGCTATCATATATAGCTGACATATTCCATTCAAGCACCAAATCGTGTTTACCTTAAGATATTGACAAAGTTATGTGCACCAACCCATTTTAAAGTATCCAGCGTGTCAATTTATGTGTTTATTTATGAATGCGTTTATTATATATTCTAACAGCGTTTGTAATGAACTGGTCGGATCCACCAGTAAGTAACCAGAAAATACTGACATGTCTACAAAATCTTATATCGAACTTACAGGACATGTTCTGTTTCATTAAAAATTGCTTCATTGTTTTAATAATAAAACTGAACAGTTATCACCTTTACACTGGCTTGCGATGTACATGTAAGCATGAACGCCGTCTATTGTCGTAAAAGAGGAGATTTGAATATAAAATCAGCATGATTATTGTGTGGTGTTAAGGCCTTAAGGTGCTAGAGAAGCAGAGAGGGCGTTAAGGTGCTAGAGAAGCAGAAAGAGGGCGTTAAGGTGCTAGAGAAGGAGAAAGAGGGCGTTAAGGTGCTAGAGAAGCAGAAAAAGGGCGTTAAGGTGAGGGAAAACAGAAAGAGGGTGTTTAGATGTGGGAAAAGCTGAGTGAGCATGAGAAGGCAGGCAAGCAGGATGAAAGCGTTGAGGTCAAGCAGGATGAAAGCGTTGAGGTAATAAGATATCAGGAGGAGGGTTTTGAGGTGAGGGATTACCAGAAGGTTTTTTTAATTTCTATGAAAGTGTCATTGTGCTATATATTTGGGATATTTGTATGGTCATGAAGGAGCTTTTTATGGAAAGGGCTATAATAGCTTAGTCAGTTAAAAACTACACTACCAGTAATAGTTTATGGAACATCTCAAAGAACACTACCAGTAATAGTTCTTGGAACATGTATAGGAACATTACCAGTAATAGTTCCTGGAACATCTGTAGGAACACTACCAGTAATAGTTCCTGGAACATCTCTAGAAACACTACCAGTAATAGTTCCTGGAACATCTCTAGAAACACTACCAGTAATAGTTCCTGGAACATCTCTAGAAACACTACTAGTAATAGTTCATGGAACATCTCTAGAAACACTACCAGTAATAGTTCCTGGAACATCTCTAGGAACACTACCAGTTATACTACCTGGAACATGTATAGGAACACTACCAGTAATAGTTCCTGGAACATGTATAGGAACACTACCAGTAATAGTTCCTGGAACATCTCAAGGAACACGGCCAGTTATAGTTCCTGGAACATCTCTAGGAACACTGTCAGTAATAGTTCTTGGAACATCTCTAGGAACACGGCCAGTAATAGTTCCTGGAACATGTGTAGGAACACTACCAGTTATAGTTCCTGGAACATCTGTAGGAACACTACCAGTAATAGTTCCTGGAACATGTCTAGGAACACTTCCAGTAATAGTTCCTGGAACATGTATAGGAACACTACCAGTAATAGTTCCTGGAACATCGGTAGGAACACTACCAGTAATAGTTCCTGGAACATGTGTAGGAATACTACCAGTTATACTACCTGGAACATGTATAGGAACACTACCAGTAATAGTTCCAGGAATATGTATAGGAACACTACCAGTAATAGTTCTTGGAACATGTATAGGAACACTACCAGTAATAGTTCCTGGAACATCTGCAGGAACACTACCACATGGTGGTCAGGTGATGCAGACCCGAAATATACTTTATGTGGATCACCTACCCAACCACATAAGTTTTCCCTAAGCATTCCGGTTTACTCCCACATTAAGACCCTTCATTTGCTGCTATCAGGCTAAAGATGAATGTAAGCATAAAACTTGTTTTACATTTGTTGTACAATAGACAATACTTATATATAAAACACTCCCACTTCTTGGTGTGTCAGAATATAGGTTCTGTCATTACATCTTCTTTCTAAAACACTCCCACTTCTTGGTGTGTCAGAATATAGGTTCTGTCATTACATCTTCATTCTAAAACACTCCCACTTCTTGGTGTGTCAGAATATAGGTTCTGTCATTACATCTTCATTCTAAAACACTCCCACTTCTTGGTGTGTCAGAATATAGGTTCTGTCATTACATCTTCATTCTAAAACACTCCCACTTCTTGGTGTGTCAGAATATAGGTTCTGTCATTACATCTTCATTCTAAAACACTCCCACTTCTTGGTGTGTCAGAATATAGGTTCTGTCATTACATCTTCATTCTAAAACACTCCCACTTCTTGGTGTGTCAGAATATAGGTTCTGTCATTACATCTTCATTCTAAAACACTCCCACTTCTTGGTGTGTCAGAATATAGGTTCTGTCATTACATCTTCATTCTAAAACACTCCCACTTCTTGGTGTGTCAGAATATAGGTTCTGTCATTACATCTTCATTCTAAAACACTCCCACTTCTTGGTGTGTCAGAATATAGGTTCTGTCATTACATCTTCTTTCTGTTTTAGAATACAATTTTACACAGCTGGATGGTTGGAACATCTCCTATCATGATTTATACACAAAAGGTAAGAATATCACAAAAAAAATGGTTAATTTTAGTCACAATGAAACATTTTATATACTGGACACGGTTATTAAGTATTTTCCATTAAAAGCATGTTTTGTTAGATATATTGATAGTTTAAACCATTTTCTTTTTTAATTTTTAAAGTATTAATCAAGTATGGATCTTTAAGAGGACTTTATCAACGTGATTTCAAAACCTATGGTGGACTAGCTCATATCAAGGTCAGTCTAACTGAATTTGTTGAAGAATCATGTAAGTTTCCAAATTAACAGAATTTTAAAAATAAATAGTGAAATTTGTAGAGAAAATTTTCAGAAAAATGCTGTGAAAAGAACCTATTTGATCTGCTAAAATATAGAAATTGATTTTGTATTAAGTCAAAGAATGAAAAGATGTGAAATATTCCTTTTCTTGAAGTTAATAATGAATGTTTGTTGCTTGTGTACACCTTAATCTTATGTTCTGACTTTGTAGCGTGGAATTGTTTTTTGTTTTCAGTTTGACACGGGTCAGATTTTAGTCAGTGAGTATATTGCTCCAGATAATCCATATGTCACACTGCCACTAAGGGAACAGAAGCTTTTCAGTATTTGTATGAACAAAAAAGGAGAGGCTGAAGTGCTGTGTTTGAAGGGCTACAAAGGACCTCATGCATGCAAATTAATACAGGTAGGATAGCAGCTACAACCACAAGTACTATAAAGGCTGTTATTTTCAAGGATGGGATAAATTTACAAAAAGTTAATTTGAAAATGAAATTGATGAAGGTCCCATTCATGACTTCAGTGAAATTCTGAACCACTGAAAAAACATCATAACAGAAAATTATCAACCTTAATTATTTCTTTTCCACATGACGTTCATCTTGCTGAACATAATGTGCCAACAGTCACCTCCTTAAATTAAACATCTGAGCAGTTATTTCATTAAATGTTCATACAACATGACCGGTGAACTAAACATGTGTGGTCACCTCATCAAATATCCAACATGGCTGGTCACCTCATTAGGTATCCAACATGACTGGTCACCTCATTAAATATCCCACATGACTGGTCACCTCATTAGGTATCCCACATGACTGGTCACCACATTATGTATCCCACATATCCAGTGGTACAGCCAGACTGCACAATTCACACATATTCCTTGCTTTCGAACTGATTGTTTAAATACAATGGGCCTGAATTGGCATTTATTATGATGTTACGCTTAATATTTAATATGACATGACAAAAATGAAAATTTTGAATTAATCAAGGTTTGTTAAATATCCCACATGACTGGCCACCATGAGACATCTTACGTCCGACACGACTGATAATCTCATGATATTTGCTCCATGTGACTGGTCACTTTATTTCATCCCCAACAACAGGTCACATCATTAAAATGAACTCATCGCCTAGATAACAAGATGTATTATATGGTATCTGTAAATCCTCTCCACTGATATCGTAAATGAGGTTTGACTTGTATATCACCATTATGTAGATACAATAGTGGCTTGAATGATTTACTAAAAACTTTGATGAGTTAATATTACTTCATTAAGATTCCATGAATACCTCATATTTTGTTTTTCCAATCCAGAAAAACCAAAGGTTGAAATTCAAGTGCCAACACATCGGGTATCATCGACACCCCAAAGGGAAGGAAAGGGTGAGTTAAAGTGTCTTGATTCATGTTTCATCCTTTCTGAATGATTTTCAGAAACAGGTTGGATTGGGAGAAGTAGAATGGAGGATTTTCAGAAACAGGTTGGATTGGGAGAAGTAGGATGGAGGATTTTCAGAAACAGGTTGGATTGGGAGAAGTAGGATGGAGGATTTTCAGAAACAGGTTGGATTGGGAGAAGTAGAATGGAGGATTTTCAGAAACAGGTTGGATTGGGAGAAGTAGAATGGAGGATTTTCAGAAACAGGTTGGATTGGGAGAAGTAGGATGGAGGATTTTCAGAAACAGGTTGGATTGGGAGAAGAGGATGGAGATTTTCAGAAACAGGTTGGATTGGAGGATTTTCAGAAACAGGTTGGATTGGGAGAAGTAGGATGGAGGATTTTCAGAAACAGGTTGGATTGGGAGAAGTAGAATGGAGGATTTTCAGAAACAGGTTGGATTGGGAGAAGTAGGATGGAGGATTTTCAGAAACAGGTTGGATTGGGAGAAGTAGGATGGAGGATTTTCAGAAACAGGTTGGATTGGGAGAAGTAGGATGGAGGATTTTCAGAAACAGGTTGGATTGGGAGAAGTAGAATGGAGGAGATTGGCTCTTTGTTCATTCCTTGTCCAGGAGGCTTGTGTCTGGTGCTTAGCTTATCCAGTGATAGAAAGTCATAACAGTTGTATCAAGGATGGCATTATGTTGTATACAAATTTCCGGTTTCTATTCAAAAGGTTAAGGTCATGTTGAGGTCAAAGTCCATATATCATATTCTCCTTGAACGACTCCTGATGTATAACTGAATGTACATGTAGATACATGTAATAGTGCAAGATCGTTTAAAGTTCAAAGGTCACACTTTTTGTCTTTGGCTTATTCTGTTTTCTGTCCAAGGGTATTTTTCCAATGCATACAGCGTTCTGATTGGTTGAATTATAAACATCTGATTTCATTGAAGTTTAGCATGTAGATATGAGATGACGTAACATAACACAATCGTGGCGTCTGTTTCCTGATTTCACAAAACAATCGTTACCTTCTTAATGATGATTGGTCAAAATATCAGTAGTGTTCAATTTCATTGAATTCTGTAAAATCAACATTAACTCTATAGGTAAAGGTATTAGATTTGAGAATGAGTCGCAAGCAACATAATCAGGTGAAGATCGTTGAGATGTCACTTTCTATTCTCAGTGTTATCTACATGTTTTAAACTTGGCAACATTTCAGCCATGCAAACTAATCCTGATCAGTGGTATATAGATCAGATCTTCTCTACACTAAACCAAATTTTCAGAATTGACATATAAACAATTGCTTGCATTCAGTTCAGTATCTTCTCACACACTTTTTGGCATGATGTTGTAAAGGTGCTGTTTTTTACAGACTTTTTAAATTATTGATATTACAAACAATTAAAAGTATTATTGCTAATTTACAGCTGAAATTAAAGAAATACTTGGTATTTCTCACCATAGTAAGAAGGATGACAATTATCCTTGTATTCAGATTTAAAACTTTTAAAGTTTAAAGTTTTAAAACTTGTCTTTTATTTTCATAATTTCAGGAACTAGAAGAATGGTTGACTTCCAAACAAGAAGATTTCCCTGATTTGTCTGTGATGAAATTTGAAGAATATTACCTCAAAACGTAAAATAAATTTTGTTTTGTTTAACATTTAAAATGGATACAATACCAATTGTTTGTAGTTGATTTTTTGTATGTGTATCAAACATAACAAAAAGTATTTGTGATGTTAAAACTTTTTAAACAATTTTATAAAATGCTTTGCTTTTCAATTATTTCAGGGGGAAATACAAGTTTCAACGGATAGAACTGCCTCTTCCGATGAGAAATGTACCAGTGCAACCAGGTCTGTTCAAAGGCCAGTACGGAGCTCATGGGATAGAAATCATGTACCTAAGCTATGACACGGACATGAAGACTATTCAGGTCTTGAAAGTAACAGTGAGTATAGAAATGTACAACTAATGCCCTAAGTCAGGGTTTACAACCTGAGAGGCGATCACTGGTCACATAACATCATTTGGATGACAAAAAGTAATTATCAATAATATTAATGCAAACACATTTACCAGTGAAGAATTCTTTGGTTGTCATTTTGTTAAATAGCTCATTAGTCCATGTACTCAGCTACGTGTTTGTCTATCTGTACACACCAGGGAGATGTTAACGTTCCCGCGATGAATGTTAGTCTGTTTGTGGACCTTCATCGACCAATGGTACTTAACGTTGAACAACAGGAGTCGATGCATACGCTGAGAGAAATTGACATACCGGACATTCCTGAAGAAAATGGACCAGGATTTGAACCCAGACACCAGCCCTTTAGAATCCCTGAAGGCTGTATGAACCGACAAGCTAACGCACCTCACCGTTGTAAATACAGGTAATTATCATCCAAGTGGATATAATATCTCATTATTTTAAATAGAAGTAATCATTAATTATCTGAAAAATCTAAGGATGAGTTTATGTATTTATGATTTGAATGCTGGTCTGTTTTAAATCAGTGTCAAGATATAGATTTGGAGAAAAAGTGGATTAAGAGAAGAAGAAATGAAAGTCAATCATTTTTAACGACTTAGTGATGAAATTTGAAAGTTGAAATTATGCTATTATTATGGAATTATGCTATTATTATGGAATTATGAAATTTTGCAAATAAGCATTAATTGTAAACAAGACTAAATAAAATTAAGCTCTGAAATTTCCATGTTTTTATATACAAATGTATAAGGTTGTTAATTTTTTTAGGTTCCATGGAAAGGGTCGTATAGCAGGTCACGGCTATCACAACCCAAGTCTGACGCCTGGTCATTTGGTAGTGTTTGATGACAATACTCTAGGTTTTATGTGGATGGAGCTTCTATCGTTCAGTATGTATTCTAGAGTGATGGAGACATTTGACTGACCTCAGGGGCAACAACTCTGATAAATATTGGCTGTATCATGTGTTGTTCAGAATTACACCACTGCCATCAGGACTTGTTTTAATTCCAGGTAATTTGTTAATGAATGTCAGTAGTTTTTGATGGATGAGTATCCTGTGATAAAGCAGAGAAGATTCCATTGAACAAGTCATCTTCTGTGGATATATTACAATATAATACGTCATTATTTTGTAAATTCTTCTTGTATGACAGGTTAATATTAGACTGGACTGCTGGAATGTTACAGTAATACAGCACATTTTGTTATGACTGATCCAGGTAATACTTAAAAAAAAATAGAAAACAAAAATATGTTAATGTATGTTAAAAATTGTTTACAATGTAATTGTACTAGAGTCAATATAAAAGACCTAGTTTTGGTTTTATTTTCGTCTTTTGAGAGAACTTTCCTGTATATGAACTTGTTCTAGATTCAATCTTTGATTGTATGATATTGTAGCATGTTGGACTGTAAACATGATCTGTGTTATACAAGTACAAGTGCTCTTGATGTTCTCACTAATATTCATTGTACTACAATGGAGTCTAAGATGCGCATGATAGTGAGATGTTAAAAATCATGTTAAAATTTTCACGGAGGTGAGAACGGGAAAAAGATAGTAGTTTGGAGTAATTTTGTTTAACTAGGATAGGGTTAATATTTTATATCATTCATGCTTTTGAATTTGCTTTTATCCAGATGGCATTCATTACTAATATGAATGCCATCTAAAAGCAGTGGAATGCCTTATAATTCATTATATTTATAGATTCAAACAGAAAAAAGTAGATTTTCTGATGTGTCTTGCTGATGTTATCACATTTGATTCTAGCAGAAATGTCTTATTTGCGAAACGTGATTTGTAGAAATATGTTTGTTACTTACATGAAAAATTCATCGGACCTTATTTATAAACTTTGATATGTACCACTATACCTTACAAAAATCTACTATGCATTATGTTTATACACCAATAACATTGGTATTTATCTACAATTTAAAGCTTTTCTGACAACTTTTTTTATAGTAGGATTACCAATTAATTTCAATGTATAAAAACAAGTGTATTATCATGTACAATTAAAATGATTATTCTGTTCAATATTTATGTACAGCCATGTGATAATTGAGACTTATGTCATGTAATAGATGATATTTCTACACTGTTTTTAGAAGATCGTCAGAGCTGTAGTGTCATCACCTCTGGGAGGACTTTTATAAAAATGCACACTTTTAAAGCACAACAAATGAACAAGTTTGAGTTTCAAGATTTTTCAGTCAAGGTCAAGATGACCATGATCATTTTAAAAGAAAGATGCTATCAGTGTTTAAGCACCTTCATTCCTTACAGGATTTTCATCAAACCTCACACACCTACAAATAACCTTAACACATTATTACATATTGGTGGTGAAATTGTCAGATTGACAATCGCATTATTCCATTTAAACAAATTGATTGTTTACATTTTGGCCACACTAAGCAGCACATTATAAATCATTATGCTGTAGTAGATTGTGGGGGCCAGTAGGAGACAAGTCAGAATACATTTTTATTATCATGATTCAGGTGTGCCCAATTTTGCCTCTTTTTGCATTTATTTTTACAAATAACATTTGCATATTATTCAGAGTAATAAAAAAAAATTTCAAACATTTTGAAAATGTTATAAAAAATTGCAAAATCTAGCCATACTGTTACTTAGGATAATTAGTAATACTGACATTTTGTTTTTAAATACAGAGATAATATCAAACTGGATGATTTATACAATGCATTTTTTGGTGACATTTTTGTCTTTCATGACTAAGTCAGTGTTGAGTTTTTATAGGATTATTTCAATGTTTTTCCTTGTATACCATGAGATCAGATTTTTTCTTATCATGGCAATTTTAATTTTTTTATTACCTGGAGTATTTTTACATACGTTTGGTCATACATTATCTGTACATCCTATTTATTAAGTAATGATATTTTGTGTGTCCAAGATTTAGCAAATTTCTGTGATTATGATTATGTGATGGAGAGAGAAATTGTGTGTTCATTGAGATTGAGAAATGATACAAATAAACGGGCTAGTCCTACAGTGTTTGGTAAGACAGATCTATGTTAGTGTTCTAGTCTCAACCATGTAAATGGTGTGTGTGTACAGATGTTTACAATTACTTCACAAAGAGAAGGTAATGCTTCTGTGGACTGTGTGGAAGTTTGTTAAATAGAGTCAGGTTGATGATTTTGTTTAAACAAAGTGCAGGTTGTGATGTGGTTAGATACATGTGGAAAGAGTTACGTCCCCTGATGTACTCTTGTCTCAGTTGTACATAGTAGCCCTAAGGCTTTATCAACCTTTAAAATGCTGCGACTAAAATTTTCAGAAATTCTAAGAGAAAGTAAGTAGAATACTACAACAAGATTTGGATGTTATAGTACATTGGTACTGCCTAAAATATTCAGAAATATTAGGGGTTAGACCTGTTTTCATAACAGTTTTATCATCATCTTGTCACACTATTTTCCACCTTGGTGTAAATAGGATTATGATAGTCAAAAACTCAGTTTCATTATGGTCACAATACCTCAGTATAAATACAGCTTACATTAGTCGTTTGATCAGGTGACATGGAAATCTCTAACACATCTTATTTTCTGATTGTGATGAATGAATATTTAAACAATGTAAATTATCTTGAAGAAAATGTTCAGTAATTCTATCATAAAAATAAAATTGGTGACATCATTTACTCCAACATTTTGCAAATTACTTTGTTATTAAATAGTATTGACTTTGTGAAATTAAATGTCTGAGCTGTTACTACATCTGTTACATGTACCATAACATGACCCACTGAGATAGAATAAAGATCTGTAGGTCGAGGTGAAAACTCTTCATTAGAAGTAAACATATGGCAAGTTAGCTGGCTGACACTTCTATTACACACAAGTGCATTGAATCAAAATGTTTGTAGGAATAAAACATCAAATTTTCAGTGAGTTTTTTCTATGTTTTTTTTTTATGATTTGTGTGACAACTGTAAAAAAATTAATATCAATTATTTACAGATTTTGTGATTTCCTTAATCCTGATACTACAAGCTAATTATCAGAGCAGGATAACATTGGCAGTTAATTTTTCTGTGTTTTTCCTATGTTATGTTGGTGATGGGTTGTATTAACAGAGGAATGTAGATGAAGAATACATTACAGTTAGCCCATCTCCTTATACTCCCCAAGGTAAGCTTTAGATATAACAGTATACAGCATGGCTGAGAGTCTGTTCAAAACGTAAGAGAAATACAATACAAAAATGGTTCATCATCAATATTTATTGAACAATGTATATTTCTGCAAAAGAACTATCCTTATTTGCAATGCAATTTGTCATCTGTTGTGATTGTATCTCCCTTCCTCCTTCCTTTATACTGGCTGTCATGATTATATACCGTCTGTTGTGTTTGTCTCTCCATACATTCCTCTAGCCTATAAACTGTCTGTTGTACTTGTCTCTCCATACATTCCACCTTCCTATATACCGTCTGTTGTGTTTGTCTCTCCATACATTTCACCATGCTATATACTGTCAGTTGTGTTTGTCTCTCCATACATTCCACCTTCCTATATACGTTTTTTTTTGTTTAATTCATGCATTCCTCCATCCTACATACTGTCTGTTGTGTTGGTCTCTCCATACATTTCACCATGCTATATACTGTCTGTTGTGTTTGTCTCTCCATGCATTCCTCCAACCTACATACTGTCTGTTGTGTTTGTCACTCCTTACATTCCACCTTCCTATATACGGTCTGTTGTGTTTGTCTCTCCATACATTTCACCATACGTTCCACCTTCCTATATGCAGTCTGTTGTGTTTGTGTTTCCATACATTCCTCCCTACATACTGTCTGTTGTGTTGGTCTCTCCATACATTTCACCATGCTATATACTGTCTGTTGTGTTGGTCTCTCCATACATTTCACCATGCTATATACTGTCTGTTGTGTTTGTCTCTCCATGCATTCCTCCAACCTACATACTGTCTGTTGTGTTTGTCACTCCTTACATTCCACCTTCCTATATACGGTCTGTTGTGTTTGTCTCTCCATACATTTCACCATACGTTCCACCTTCCTATATGCAGTCTGTTGTGTTTGTGTTTCCATACATTCCTCCCTACATACTGTCTGTTGTGTTTGTCTCTCCGTACATTTCACCATGCTATATACTGTCTGTCGTGTTTGTCTCTCCATACATTCCTCCTTTCTGTATTCCATCTTTTGTGTTTGTGTTTCCATACATTTCCCCCTACATACCGTCTGTCGTGTTTGTCTCTCCATACATTTCACCATGCTATATACTGTCTGTTGTGTTTGTCTCTCCATGCATTCCTCCAACCTACATACTGTCTGTTGTGTTTGTCACTCCTTACATTCCACCTTCCTATATACGGTCTGTTGTGTTTGTCTCTCCATACATTTCACCATGCTATATACTGTCTGTTGTGTTTGTCTCTCCATACATTCCACCTTCCTATATATCGTTTGTTATGTTTGTCACTCCTTACGTTCCACCTTCCTATATGCCGTCTGTTGTGTTTGTGTTTCCATACATTCCTCCCGACATACTGTCTGTTGTGTTTGTCTCTCCATACATTCCACCTTCCTATATATCGTTTGTTATGTTTGTCACTCCTTACGTTCCACCTTCCTATATGCCGTCTGTTGTGTTTGTGTTTCCATACATTCCTCCCGACATACTGTCTGTTGTGTTTGTCTCTCCATACATTTCACCATGCTATATACTGTCTGTCGTGTTTGTCTCTCCATACATTCCACCTTCCTATATACTGTCTGTCGTGTTTGTCTCTCCATACACACATGACTGTTCGTTGTGATAACGACTTCGTAAATGATTCTAATTAACATAGAATTAAGTTCACTGACTGACACCGTGTGGTGCCTCAGAACTCGGGATTATGACATACAGGAGACATGTTTTGGACAAACCATGAAGTAGTGTAAGTAACTACAGTTTCTAATATCTGTTAAACGCGGAGTAGTTAAATTCCTTGATTTTTTTTTTATATTTCTGAATTACATAATTCGGAGGAACATTTTTACTTGAAGAAGACGATAATATAACTAACATATGAACCATATAAAAGATGATGAGTTAATTTCGTAAAAGTTTTCTGATAACTGAAATCAGTCGGACGGGGATCCTATGGTCGAGACATTGTATACATGCGAGAGTGGCGGAAAGTTTATCATGTTGCAATACGTTGTAATTTTGTTGTGTTCGTTAAGAAATAGAAAACATTTAGTGGTTTCCCGTCATTTTTATTTCACGAGTACGACAGGTTGTCTTTTTTTCATGGATGCGATGCACGAATGAAACATTTAGATATATTCTGTGGTGCCAGTATGACGGAGCACAGATTGCAGGCATATGTGAAATGTGAAAGAGTAACGATGTTTCGCTGTACATTGTGATAAGATGATTTTTGATAAACAGTAAATCTGTAGATATAAGTCTCAATCAACACTCCGCATACTAGTATGTCAACGCTAACTTCCGTCAATACACAAGCATTCGTGTGGTCATGGATGAAAGCTTACATCATTACTGTGAAATATAGGAATTTATTAATTTGATAAAAGCAGAGACGTATATATCACGTATATATGATATATACGTCTCTGATAAAAGCTTACATCATCACTGAAAAATAGGAATTTATTAATTTTTGGCAAAATTGTGTTCGGTATATCTGTCAATGGTCACAAAGTAGGATAGAAATTGAGAATTCATTGAAGATATGTGTCTTGAACAAGTTTTATATTCCCAATAGATTGTTCCTTAGAGCTTCAACTCGCCAACCTTATCGGAACTCCCAACAGAAATACCTCCCGTTATCGCGAAAATGAAATAGCTCGCAAACATGAAATACCTTGTAATCCGACTTCAGCGCGAATTCACATCCAGTGCCTTGTGCAAGGTATCGTGTAATCTAACTTGAATGTTTATTTA